AGAAGAAAGTCATTCATTACTCAGTATTTCATAGATTCGCATAAGTTGGACAACGTCGATTTGATCACAGATTTAGGCATTCTATTTGACCATAGGTTACGTTTTAACTTGCATATTGAGCTCTCGATAAGCAAAGCTAGGTCCGCGCTTGGTTTTAAAAAATGGTGGTCCCAAGAGCGTGATGATCCCTACATTACGAAAAGGCTGTACATGTGTTTGGTTAGACCTACACTTGAGTATGCCTCTGTTGTGTGGTCTCCTTCATATAGGTGCTACGTAGATTCAATTGAATCTGTTCAAAAGCAATTCTTGCTGTTTGCCCTTAGAAATTTGGGTTGGGATCCAAATGCCTCTCTTCGTCCGTATGAAAATAGGTTGCTTCTGCTGTCCTTACCGTCTCTTGAAAATCGTAGGTTTGTTCTTGGCGTTTCCTTTCTAATTAAAGTAATAAATGGTGCCATTGACTCGCCTTCATTACTTGGTGAAATAAGCTTTAATGTCCCTAACCCCTTCTCTAGGTACTTTATCTTGGTTAAGCTTAGTCAGTGTAAATTTAATTATGAGCTGTTTAATCTGCTCAGAGTAGTTTGCAAGAACCTAAATGACGTCTACCACTTATTCTCGTTATCGGACTCTTTAAAGTCCATTAAAGCAATATTGCTTAATACGCGCGATTTACCTATGTCTTACTTAAACTACCTATGTGTTATTTAAACTAGCTTTTATCTTTAAAAGTCGTTACGATTCGAGAATGAATTGTTGTTAAGTATTATCGGTTGCCAGGCTTATGCATGCTTGTAAAGGCTTAGGTGTTCATTTGCAATTTGGTCCTGTACCGGATGTAAGTGTGGCTCTATGCTGATGGTGTACATGCTTTTTATCCTTTTTCTTTGTTTTTTCCTTCTTATGTGTTTTACTGTACTTATACTAAGTTTTATTATTAGTTTAATATAAGTTTTGCTTTAAGTGCCAATTGAACTCGACTGTTATTTGTTTAGTTGAGTTTCATATATAAGTAGAATTAAAATAAATAAAAAAAAAAAATAAAATAAATATATAAAAATAAACTTACTCCAAACTAAGTGTAAATTGTTAATGAAAACATTAAGGAATATAATTACTACACCCGACGGAAAAATTAAAATGTTATGGGTACCAAGTCACATCGGTTTACTGGGAAATGAGCAGGCTGATCAAGCGGCAAAGTATGCTGCTTCTGCTCCTCTAATTATGGATGATGTCATGGAAAAGTTGGATCTTCAAAGATACATTGGAAGAAAAGTTAAAGAGAAAATTGCAGAAGGATATTTACAATACCATCATCAACACTACTCTTGCATTAACCCTCAATTAACTCCACCTCTATATCCAACAGATGTTGAGAAAACCAAGATCCAAACATTTTCGAGAATTCGCCTTGGTCATACAATTGCAACTCACCAATGGATCCTGAAGAAGTCTTCTCCCCCAATCTGCTGTTGTGGACAAACTCTTACTATAAAGCACATTCTCTGCGACTGCCTCAACTTTTCCTTGGCTAGAAGTATTGCATTTGGAACGATTAACCCTTTGAACATTCTACAATCAGCTTCAGAACAGAATATCAATTCAATATTTTACTTTATTAATACTACTAAGCTTATTATCTAATATCCATTTTTTTAAATTAGAGCCGATAGCCTGTGTTGCTAGTGCTCAATGTCTCTTTTTTTAGTCTAAGAATTCAATTCATTAGTCTAAAATTAAAATAATAATAATAATAATAAAACATTGCATCTGCGTTAGCCAAACGCTGCCACGAACAGACATTTTATTCCATCTATTAGGAAATGCTTCAACTTCTACAAGCCCAAGAAACATCTTATTGAAAAAATTGCTCCTATGGAACAAACATTTTTGAGCTATATCTGCAAGTTCCAGTTCTGACGTGTCAATTTTTCATTGCTTCAGTAACTTGCTTTCTAAACAATTGTTAAGTTTCTGCAACGCAGTATTCAAAGTTTAACAAAAGCCAATTTCTTTGTGTCTTGAGTGAGAAGCGCTTAATATAATAAAATAAAACATCGTCTTAAAGAAAGTCCCAACACGTAAAATTATATTTTCGGTACTCAATCAGCACAAACCAGAAAAAATTTCCTAACAATATTCTCATCCATCGGCCACCCTTTCTAAATATCGGAAGCCACAAGTCCGGCGGTATTAGTAATTCTAGATTTTCTAAAATTAAAAAAAAAATGTACCTACGCTGATCGTGGACATTACCACGTCTGATAAACAAGAGATTAGTCATGGCTTGACACAGGGTAGCATTTTTAGCCTAGTGATTTGTAATCTATATGCTGCTCAACTTTATTGTATTGAAGAGAAAAGGGGAACTGACTTTCGGTATGCTGCGGTATGAGTTTCCTAACGAACTTTTAGTTAATCCAAAGGAAGTTTAAGTGAAAAAAAGTTCTATAAGATGACTCTACAATATAAAAACCTATTTGTAATGAAATAATAATGAAGATAATAATAAAGATAGATTGCTTTACAAGTTTAATTTACCCGAGATCCAAAACGCCTTTATTTCTATACCAAAACAAATCAGTTTTTATTTTAGCTTGTATGTATCTTACGATAATTTATAATAATTTTCCTCCAATTAGGATTTTGCTTTGTGCATAAAAAAATAGAACGCTTTTCTGCTTCATAGGTAGTTATATTAAGCATAACTAGACAACGATACTTGTAGTCGGTAATCGAAGTGTGTACTGTTAACCAAGATGGTAACATTAAGAGTAATAAATTTTGTAATAATAAATTTAAAATGTAAATAGATCAGTTATGAGTTAGTAAGCATTCATCATATTATATGCCTGTCAAGGTGCGATGTTACGTATATGTATATTCATGCCTATGCATTCATCATATTCTACACGCGCCAAGACGCGACATTATGTGCATATACATTCATGTCAAACAATGACTATGCATTAATGCAATTATATGAGACTGAAAACCAACAAATTTCGAAAATTGTCGAACTAATAAATTTGGTTCGGATGATTGTCCAAGACTTAATGATAAACAGAATACCATATTTCGATGATATTTGCAAACAAATTCTTTAGACGGGTTAGAAAATTCAGATACCTAAGTTCATGAAGAAGTTTACTTTATGCTTTGAATTAACAAATTTTTTAAAAATTTTTTATGTCATCAAATAATTGGTATTTCATGCAATAATTATGTACATAATTTTTAAATCATTAAATTCACGCCGTATCTTAACATGTCAAGTAATCAATAAGTGACTCATCGAGTTAGACTTCTTGAACAACCTACTCTTTATTTCTTGCCATATGTAAGTGCTTGTTGAACCAAATAGAGCAATCTCTTTAAGTTTTTTTAGGGATTATAGGCGCAGACACAGAGAGTAAAAAAAGAGAATTACAAGTGATTGGTAGATCCGTTGAACTTCGCTTCAGAGAATTTAAAACAAAAAGAAGGAAAATAAATAATTTTTTTGTTTTTAATTTTATTTAGTAAAAAACCTTTGTTTAATAGAATTATGACATGAAATTTGTGCATTTTGATGTACAATATTCTTCAATTTTTCATCTGGGGTATATGCAAATAAAGCTTCTCTACCACGGGGTCAATTCTCTATATGCGAAACCTCGACTTTTAAGATTACCTTGTTTAATGTCGTAGCATCTTAAACAAATAAATTTTCACTCGAGGTCAAACGACTAACAGCTATCCGAATAAGATGCAGATGGGAGGGAGGACTATGGCGACAAACTACGTCTATCGGTATATTATTAATTTTACGATGTAATCGAAATTAAATCAATAAGGATAGGGAACGACACCAGGGAAAATGGAATAGAGTTTTTAAGAGCAATAAACGCTTTTGATTTACATGCCCTATCATTTCTAAATATATACATATGTGTATATTTGGGCGCAAAATTCAGTTGATACGTGACTTTAGAACACTTAAATCTCAGATCCAAAGACTTTGTAATCACACAATCGATTTAGGGTTCTGGCATTTTGATATAAAATGCATCCGGCACTTTGATACAAGGAAAGGGGAATAATTAAATAGAATGCTTTAATAGAAATGTTGGAAAAGATTTGCACTGCATGACATTGATGTTGATAGATAAAGTCAAATCTTGCAAAAAAAGAGTGCTTTTTGGTAGCTTCTGAAGTATTACATATTAGTATGTATCGATGATAAAGCGAGGTATGTACTTTACTTCTATTCTCTTTGATAACGTGAAGAAGAGATTTGAAAATGATAGTAAATATTAATCTAGAAAAAGTCTGTAGAGTTTAGAAGGGAGTCGAAAAAGAATGAAAATATTGCAGATATCTGTAGATCTAGATCTAAAAACGAACATAACGTTTTAAATTTAGCAGTATAAAATTTACTGCGAGAGTGCAAAAAGTTTCGGCTGAAATGCAAATGCCAGAAAATCATGCAACCGGAATATCAAGCGTTATTGGCATACGTGGCAGATAAGGGAATTCCGATAAGTATAAAAATTGTTTGCAACAAGTGGTCCTCTGTGTTGAAAGAAGGAACAAACGATAGACTACCGCACTTAAAGATAAAGATGTTTAATAAAACATGTTCCCGAGCTTCCGAGTAAACTATACGAAAACAGTTTCTGTGTGACATCAACCTATAAATGTATATTCGCAGCTCCAACGGAAGATGAGCATTATCTCAAACAGATGTACGTATTTCACGTAGTGAATTAGTGGATGACATGATTCAAGCGAAGACAATTATTAATAAAAGCATATAATTACGTATTAAAGTTAGAAAAATCATTTTTGCTTCCTACTTAAATTTTTGTACGATTATTTTTTTTATAGTGAACTTGAAACACTAGCAATATAGGCTTTCGGCGCTACCTTAAAAAAGAAAATTCTATACTGAACCCATTAGTTTTAATAAAATAATTTATTGGATTGATATTACGTTTTGTAACTGTTTTCAGGATGCCCGTAGGATTAGGTGCTCCGAATACTTCTTCTAATAAGGAAAAGTTAAAGCAGTCGCATGGAAGGTGCTTTGTTGTACGAGTTTGTCCACAGTTGCAGATTGGACAAACAGATTTTTAAGGATCCATTGGTGTGCTGCAGTTCGATGGCCAAAACGAATTTTCGCAAATGTTTTAAGCTTGACTTTGTCCGTATTAGTTGGATGTAGTGAAAGAATTAAGTGAGCATTAACGGAGGAGCTGTGCTGACGGTGGTATTGCAGATTTGCTTTCATTATTTTCTCATCAACTTTACCTTAAATGTATCTTTGAAGGTCCAATTTTTCCACGATAGTGTCCTTAACTAGAGGAGCAAAAGCAGCAGATTTCGCCGCTCGATCAACTTATTCATTGCCGAATAAACGAAAAAGGCTGGATGAGCGACGCAGTTTAATCTTGTTACCGCATGTTGTGATAGTGCTCCTTAATTTGTTGGTGGAACTCCAGTTGGAAGTCCAAGTGTTTCAAAGAGGTTTTAACACGGGTAAAATATAGGCGACAGCAATAGATTTAAGTTTTTATAAGCAAGGCTTACAGCTTGAGGGATTTAGTTATGGAAGTAAAGGTAGTTTCATCACGTGCGCGGTTAAGCATGTTTTAAAGCTGTATATAAGAAATGCCTACCGTCATTTTTTAGTTTTTGGGGCTTTTCTTCAATGAGACTCCTCAAGGCGTAACTTGAAATGCCTTCTTTTTTGTACACAGAGAGCGAAATGTCACAAGAGTAGTTTGTCAACCTGGAGGCTTAAGATCATAATTTCGGTAAATGTTTAGAGGAGCTTAATTTCTTTGTCAAGTGTAAATAGTTGTCAATTGCAGAGGATGATCTTTTTTTTCTTCTTTTTTCACATCCTTGTCGAAAATAGAATTGTTTGATTTAAGAAACTTGGGGATTTTGATTCATAACGTCTATTTTCTAAAGCTTGAAGATCATTTTCAGCTATGATATTGTTTATGGACGTCGTGGGAAAAGCATAGGTATTAGCTCTAAGAGCTTGAAGATAGACCGGTTGTGGTGGCATTCCGTAGGTGCTTATTTTGGATCGAACTAGCCCATGACATAACAAAAAACAAAAAAAAAAGAAGCAAATTATATGCAAACAGAAAACACATAAGTTCTTTGCGAGCCCACTTTTTTTGTTGTGTAAGCGTGTCTGTCCGATTAAAACTGCGCATCTATCCATTAGGTGTGCATATCCATTTACGATAGACAAATGTATAATACATTGTAACTTAGCTCGATAGCTGCGCTATTTCTTGGGGTATGCAATTACATCTCATTCCTTAAGGATCCTTCTTCTTCCTTATTCTTAACGCTATTTTTTTCCGTTGTTTTCTCTGAGGATATGACAATGAAAGGTTCACGTTCTCTGTTCGAAATGAACGCAAAGCCGCATTCACCATAACATACCAGGCATGATATTTTATCAGTTTTGTTTAATAAAACCCAACCGTTAAAAAGTGATTGTAGACGACGGTGAAGAGGATGGAGGTCGAGAGTTGTTGAAAAATATAACAACGATGCAAAGTATTAGTGTTTGGATGTATTTTGTACAGAACTCAACTAAAGAATAATTTGACTTATTAAAGTCCTTGCTTATTATTTTTTCTATTAAATAAAAATTCCCCAATCACTTATTTCGCACGAATATCGATTCTGGGGGTATCCAAAATTTCCAAACGTCGTCGTTATGTATTATATCCCCAATTCGAAATATGGTATACTTATATACATAATCTACTGATGCGCATAAATCTGGTAAAATATCTTTATTTTTAACAATAGTTTGCTTCAATTGCTCATAATCTTCCGATGCAAATGAAGTTGAATGTAGATCGATCTCTAATAGGCTGATATTTGCAATTTCTTCCACATACATACGCGAAGGCGCGATATTCAATAATCCTTTTCGATGTTTCGATGTGCCATGTTCAAAGGCAAGAAAGGCTCTGCCAAAGTTATGAAACATGACGTAAGCACGCAATTAGAACGAGAACACATGAAGTTAATGGATGTCTACGGGGGCCAGGTTGCAGAAAAGCAGGTTCCTTTTGGTAAGAAGATGCACTATCCATCTGACTATCGGGATGAATGCTGCTGGGTAGGGCTCTTCAAGCAATATCGTGGTGGCTGTTGTTATCCCAAAGTTACGTGGGGAACTACCTAAGAGGTGTCTTGGCTTACCAATAAGCGAGACAATGGCAATGGCACCCTTTCTCTATTTTGGTGCTTCAGGGTAGTAGGGTGGCTTTCAATGGAGATTATCATACTCCTTGAGTGCGTCTGTTATCGCTTGTCAAGATATCTCGTGCGCCATGGGTCCCTGTGGGGTTAAACCTTCAAAATAGTATACCGCGTACAGGAATCTGTATGTAGAAGTGTTTATGAAAATCTGGTGTAGATAATGTTGGTGCCGTTGTAAGGCATTTCTTTAATTAATCAAAAGTCAAAAGTGGTTGGTCTGACATTGTAAACTTCTTTATCTGTTCTTTTGTAAGCCAGTCATGTAAAGGCGCTGCTATCATAGTGTAATTTCGGATAAAGCATCGATACCAGCTGATCAGTCTCAGTTGATTGGGGATTTTCGAAATTGGACAACCAGTCACTGCGGCAACTTTTTCTAGATCAGGTCTTGAATGACCTTTCCCTACTAAGAAGCCAAAATATTTCAACTTTCGAAAACAGAATCGACTTTTCTTAAGAACAATTGTCAGATTGCCACATCGCTCAGGAGTTGAATATGGATTTCAAAAGTAGCTAAACAGATCAACAGATCATCCAGACACACGAAATTAATTCTCTCGAAGATTTCCTGGAATTACTTTGTCCATCAACCGACCCATGCAGCATTACATAAATCAAAAGGCATAACTGTAAATTGGTATACAGGTCTGCCTAGTACCGTAAAAGCTGTTTTTTCTCCCGAGTTTTTTCCAGTCGGATTTGCCAAAAAGCGTCTTTTAAATCTATAGTTCGTATAGAGGGGTATTTTGAAAACGAGTTAAGAGACTATCAATGTGTGGAAGTGGATTTGTGTCTTATAATGTGCGCTCGTTAATTTTTCGCGCATTCAAAGTAGACAATTTTTGAAACCTTTTTTTACTAGTGCAATAGCCAAACCTCAGCTACGGTTACTTTCCTTGATTACTCCTAATTCTAGCTTAAAATCTAACTCTGCAAACCCTAAGTTTTGCAGGTGAAATGAGATAATCTCTTTGCTTAATTGGCATGTTCTCAACAAAAATAATGTGTTCTTGTAAGTACGTTTTCTCCAAATGCGGTGTTTCAAAGGAAGGAAATTGTTTTTTAGCTACTTCTAATATATTTGTTTGCTCTACCGTAAGTGAAATTTGGGATTTTCACATTTTTGTATCTAGATCAAGATTCTTTAAACATTCAGCATCGATTCTAATCTATATCGAAGTATATACTTTTTTGCAGTTCTGGGGCATTAAGAAAATCCGTATTTCTAGTTACCTCTCCCCATTGTACTGGTAGAATAATGATGCTTGTTACATCATCATTTGCCACATACTTGTTGGTCTTGTAATTTGAAGATTTTGTGTTTTCTCCCTCATAAAAGGATACTCGCTTCATACCCGCAGCAAATGGCAGTAGCTCCCATATCAAGTAATCCTGTAATTCCTTCGTCAAAAATTTTCGCCATCTTAAGTGTTGAAACTATATTTTCATTAAACTACTTAAATCGTTTTCTTTTTTCTCTATGAATCTCTATCTTCTGGATTGCTTCTTCCTCTGTGAATTTGTCTTCATTAAATGTTTGCCTACACCTTATCTCATATTCCTGGACGCGTCTTTCTGAATTGCTTTTAGTATATGATTTTCTTGTAAACTGTTCAATTTTTCGGTAGTCTGTGTAGTTTTATCGTGCAGGCTGTTATGACCGTTTCTAACTGTAGTTTTTCTAGCAAAGATGTGTTCCTTAGTAGCTTTTTTTCCCATTTTTCCGGGTTTGACACTGATTGGTGAAAGCTCCTGGTATTCTCCGCCTTTCTGCCGTTTCCTGATTGAAATGGATAATAGCTTTCGTTTTTGCCACATGTAAGACATAACATCATGAATTATACATTCGCAACGATTCTCTTGGGCTGCTTCTAATATGTGTTTATTAAAAAATTATTATGAATTTCTCTGTGCGTTTACATTCCGGTTTTTAATAAAGAGTTTTATCCATCTTGATTACAAAAATTAGGTTGGCAAGGCTCGGATTGATAATGGATTTTACTATTTTTATCAGTTCTGACTCAGGCATCTTTTTGTATAGACGGAAAGTTAAATCGTGTATTTCCGCATAATATTCTTTGAATGAGTCAGTCGGATACTGTTTCCTCTCCATGATTTCACGCTCATAGTTTTAGTCCACTCGGAATTGTACCAATAGTTCATTTTTTGATTTAAAATAATTAAAGGTGGGCTAGTCTTCATGATCTTCCAATTGCTACCAATACCATTGGCCAGCATAACCTGTCACATAATCGTGAAATTCTGCGAAAAGGCCTTCATAAGACACCTGGTTTTGTTGTCTCTGAAAACAAAATTTTCAACCGTAAACCCTTTTCGGGATTCATTTAACCGGAGATGCCATTTAGTTAAATCGACGTTTCTTGCAAGAATATTGCTATTGTGAGTAAAGAATGTTACAATATTAAAAATAGATCGAACTTTCTACTCATAACACTAATAACAAGACATTAGCAGCAATATAGAGAAAGTTTAAAAAGAAAACAATGGGCATTGGACTAAGCTTGCCTTACGCCGTTCAATAAGTAAACAGGATGTGGCTTATTTAGAAACACAAAAACTCCCTCTATGCGTCATAGTTATTCGTTGAACTTTTAGTTAATAGTTAATAAGTGTATATTTTGTTATTAGTGTAAAACTATTAATATCATTTCAGTTTCTTTTTAGTGTTCGAATTTTCAGAATTATCCGTGGCCAAGTCGGCAAAGGATCTCGATTCACAACTCCATTCTCAAGTATAATAGAGTTTTCAATAAAGCGCCGTAAGACTGTATTAGGTTTCATTTCTTTGGCTAAACGAGCTATAATAAAAATTATGGGTCACTGTCCTACATACGTTACGATAACGATACAAGAAACTTAAGAACACACTTTGTTTTTCTAAAGAATGTACGTGGTCCTTCAAAGTTCGATCCGAAAGTACCGATCAGTCAGGTATCGTGAGCTATACCACAGACCAAACAATTTTTTTGTTTTTGTTCTTCATTCAAAGCTTTCGATCGATAATTTATTTCCTTTCAAAATTTTTACTATGCAACTGTTTTCTTATGTCCTTTTGTTTCTGAAACCCCTATGGCTATTTCTAGCTATGTAAACAGAATGGGCTCATAGATATACCCGAAAAATTCTGTTAACCTTAATGTAACCCGTTAGCATACCACTGTAGTGAAAACACAATTAAATTCGTTTTAATAATTCTTTATTACGAATGTTTTTACTTCTGACTTACTATCTCACTATCTTACTATTATTATATAATTAATGATTTTACTGAACTGTCGTTAGTAATTTATATAATAACTTATTATGCTAATTTAAGCTAAATAGTGGGATTAAACTAGGTTATTACTAAAGTTACAATAAAGCTAGATTGCATTATATTAATTAGGTCATAGCTTGACCTGCAGTATGTGGAGAGATCTTAATTAGGATATAGCTACGTTTACATTAAGTGGAAATATAATAAGGAATGAACTAAGCATAAATGATTATTGAATGGGTAGATGACGATAAATCGATAATGCTACACCATATACACCACCTACTTTCTGAGAATACACATATAAAGCGTTCTTCATTAAGAAGAATTGATTCATTCGGTTGATTAATGGAGCAAGTAAAACAACAATAAAAATAAACATTAACATCTTAAGTTGTTACCTCATTATCACAACTACAAAAAAAATTAAAACATATTGTCAAATGTCATTCAATGTCAAAATTTTTTTGCTTTTTCTTGGACTCAGATATCGTTCAAATAAGTATATCGTACACATACTTATATGTAAATATAAGTACGTTATGGCGTTATACACCAAATATCCGGCATTTAAGGATCTTTCACATTATAAACAAATTAGTAGATGGGTATTGAAAAATCATGTGTGAGCATAGCTGTACCTTGTTTCCATGGCAATAAAGGAACTATAATTCCGGGATTAAGTAATAAAAACAATTCTCAAAATAAGCTTCAACTTTCGCAATGACCTCATCATATGATCCAAGTCTTTTTCCGAAACTTTTGGAGATTTTCACAATGATGATATTTGCTGGAAACCTGGTCGCGAGGACGGTGTAGATGGAGCAACAATTCGAGATTCAATTCACGCAATACCAGCCATCCACTTGCGACAGCACAGAGCAGTACTTGATTCCACCACGTCTAAGTTCGCTCTACATTTGCAAAACAGCTTTATCTTAACCAAATTTTCGTACAAAATAGTAAAAACAAATATCTCGCAAATATCTCGTCAATGGCCATTTCTCGATTATCCAGTATAGTTTTGAGTGTTTTTTTGTGCAAGCTACCTTTTTTAGCGTACAGTGCGTTCCGCATTTTCAACTACTCAACTAATTATTCCAAATTTGACATACGGCGAGCAAACGTTTTTTTACTTAAAAAAAAAATTATAAACAGGGTTCGATTCAAGAATAAGCAATTAATTCGATGGTATATTTGGACTTTGATCAATCTGTACGTATATTGAAATTATGACACTTACAAAAGAATTCGTATACGGTCTTTAATCTAACACAAGTGTCCGATGATGCAATTATTTTTCGTTACGCATTACTTTAGTGTAGAGAAGAAATGGCCCGTCAAACTTTAAAGTTTTTTTCAAACTTTTTAATTTTAAAAAATATTTAAAAACATTCTAATATTAACAAGCATTATATTCGGTTTCAGTCTCTCACCATCAACCATCAGTCCCAACCGTCACAAAAGATATGTCATTGCAAACAAATGTACAGCCAATAGTGCAGACGTACTCGACTTTTTCAACCGGTCTTCAATCCCATGAGAAACAGGGGGTGAAAACTATAACCACAGCAAAAGCAGATCCAAGTTACACGTCAGCTATGGTTACTTCGAAACCATCAGATACTACCGAAGCGGTGACAACATCCACCACGACGGGAAATATAGTTATAACCAATGCAGATAGCCTTGATAATGCAACTCTGTTATCATTTTCAACACGTCCCACAGAAGTGTATTCATTTCATGAGCAAATTATTATGTCTGGTCAACAGAAATGTTCCATGCCAGAGAAACCGAAACCATTAGTTGTTTCGCCGCAACAAGTCATGATATTGTACATGCATAAATTGACGCCATATGAGCGCACTGAAATTCTTTCTTATCCACAGATTTATTTTATAGGTGCTAATGCAAAGAAACGTCCCGGCATTTTTGGGCCCAATAACTCTGACTATGACAACGACCAGGGTGCCTATATACATATACCACATGACCACGTTGCCTATCGTTATGAAATGCTAAAAATAATCGGCAAAGGAAGCTTCGGACAAGTAGTGAAAGCCTATGATCACAAAACGCACGAACATGTTGCCTTAAAGATGGTACGAAATGAGAAGCGTTTTCATCGGCAAGCACAAGAGGAGATACGCATATTGCATCATTTACGACGTCAAGATAAATACAACACCATGAATATTATACATATGTACGACTACTTCACATTTCGGAATCACATGTGCATAACATTTGAATTGCTTAACATTAATCTTTACGAATTAATAAAAAAAAATGGTTTTAAAGGATTTAGTTTGCAGTTGGTACGAAAATTTGCCCACTCTTTGCTCCAATGCTTGGATGCTTTGTATAAAAATGAGATCATACATTGTGACATGAAACCAGAAAACGTTTTGCTAAAACAACAGGGTCGTTCAGGAATTAAGGTACTTGTATTATAAATTGCTTATATGAATGAGCGACCATATTTCTAATTAACCAATAACAGGTTATCGATTTTGGCTCATCGTGTTACGAGAGTCAACGTATTTACACGTACATACAGTCACGCTTCTATAGAGCACCAGAGGTAATACTGGGTGCAAAGTACGGCCGCGCGATTGACATGTGGTCGTTGGGTTGTATTTTGGCCGAATTGCTGTCGGGACACGCGTTATTTCCTGGCGAAAATGAAGCCGATCAATTGGCGTGTATTATAGAAGTTTTAGGCATGCCTAATAAAAGCGTGCTAGCCACTGCAAAACGTACCAAAGTATTTTTCAATCCCGAAGGTTATCCACGTTACTGTACCGTTCGAACCATGGCTGATGGCATGGTAGTATTAATTGGGGGACAATCGAGACGTGGCAAGCAGCGAGGTCCACCTTGCTCGAAAAGTCTATCTAAAGCGATCGACGGTTGTAAAGACGCACTATTTTTAAATTTTATACGCGGTTGCTTAGAATGGGATCCCGAAAAACGCTTAACACCAAGCGAAGCATTGAAACATCCTTGGCTTCGCCGCCGATTGCCCAAGCCACCTAACGGTACAAATAGTATTATATGCAGTCAAAGCAGCAATGGCAGTAACATTGTCTGTGATGAAAAGCCGGCTTCAGCAGCAGCACAATCAGGCAAGTCGTCGACAATGAAGTTTTGCTGTGGGAAGCTAATAATTTTATAATTCAATTACGAGCACTTGTGATTTTTTCTGTACTCAAAACAGGCTTATGTGGAGGCGAAGAAAATAATCTATTGAATAATGCTGTTACTTCAAAAGACATTAGCAAAAGTAGTGGATGCTTTGTGGCTACCGCTGCAGGTGCTGCGAAGAATGCAGTTGTATTCAATTCATCCTCTATTTTATCTATTGCTTCAGAACCGCTCTGGGAGTTGAACACAGCGTCCGTCGGTAGTATTGTTGGTCATCGATCCATAGCCGCTGAATTGTCTGACACGTCTCGGTCTATCAACTTAAACAGCGTAATTTCTACAAATAATTATGGTAGTGAGTATACGACGAATTCGAACCTTCTTCCACCATCAACAAATAATAATGACTAGTATCTAGCTATTAAAAGGCAAGACCAGCAAACAAATAAAAAACACTCTTACGAAGACATTTGCTATCGTTGCACGACCAAAATATTTCTTATTTTTATGGACATTATTTGTTTGTTAGTCATGTTTTAAACCCACTTTAACTTCTGCGTTTAAAGATTGATATCTTTAGTCTACTTTGATTTATATTTACAGTATTTTGTGCACATATTTTGATTTCAAGATTACAACAACAATAGGTTAACACTATTTTAAGAATTATTAATACAAACTGAATTCAAAAATTGTTTGCGCCAATTTTGTTCAATCAAACTTGATCAACCAATTTCTTTATAAAAGTTAACTTCACATTATTTTATATATTTTAGGCCATATTAATCATATATCTCCCGCTTTCATCTCCAAAAACACACATAACTCAAATCCGTTTAACAAGTGCATGATGAAAATTAACACTACTAGTATCACATCAAATTCCTCACGCACTCTCACACATTCATTGGCTTCATGCGCGACGGCTTGCAGCAACAATACTCCTAGAAAAAATGTAAAAGGTGTTGTTGATGACACTACTACAAATCACCATTGCAATTCAACAGCAACGTTGGTGCTATCTTCGTCATTATCATCATCATTCACCCACGCGTACCCTGGAGCCTACTACAAATGCGAAATGCCCGCTACTTACCACCATCTGCATCACCACCATGACCACTATCGTCAAACACAGAAATATCATTCGCCAAGTTCCCAACTTTCATTATCGTACAAACCCCAAAAAGGAGATACTAAAAAACTGTAACAAAAGACGGATATTTAAGTGAAATATGTGATGTTAACCTGTTCACAATGCCTTACTTGTTCATTAATCGCCCTAAATAATTACTTAAATATGTCCTAGAAGCAGCTACTTTACGAAAGGGAAAGTTTGATTCAGCAAGAAAAATCACCATATTTAAGTTATACCCCTCACTGCTTGTGAATTTAAATAAACCAGAACGGCAACAATCTAGAATGTACTTGTAAAAAATTACAGAATATTTTTTTAGTACACAGTGTATGTAATAAGGAACAAAAATATATAGGATATGAGTACGTATATGTGCTAAGAACGAAACTTGTCGAATGAGAAAGTCAATTTTTTTTTTGTAGTATTTGGAGATAAAATGATTCACGGCGCTCCGTCCTAACTATATAATATATACGAGCACGTGATGTAATAAACCATATAGTCTTTGCAGCTTTATTATAAAATATCTTTTCAATTTCGATTGAGTGGGATTTGAAATATGCTTTTGCAATTGCTAACAAAATGATGCTTAATACCAATAGGTTTAACTGTTTTGCATTTGAGATTAGTTGCAGTACCGATGAGTTCCCTATTAACTTCAAATATATTGACTGATGCAGTGATTTTGATTACTTGTAAGTCCTTTATTATACCGCGTGACCAAATGACTTTTCTATCCGCAACGGTGATGTCAATATATTCTGCTTCTGATTATGAAGTAGTAAGAGCTTGTTGTTTCTTAGTTTTCCAGTCTTCCAGTCTTTGACAGAATGACTTGGTGGATTTCAACATAAGACGACTGATTCGGTAACGCATATAGCCTTAAAAAAAATTCCTAAGAACTCGCCAGAAACCCCATTAGACTCCCTAACTTTTTTTATAAGCGTAGATATTTTTTACAGGCTACATTCTATGATTGCAAATCTATTCAGCATTTTTTTGTCTTAATCTTTGTGGCAAATGCTGATACTTTTGTCTAAATGTAATTTTATTCTTAGGATGTGATTTATTGAACATTTCGAAATGTTTGGATAAATTTAATTTTAATTGTACAATAGTCGATCTAATCCACTACATGACAAACAATCTTGTTTGCTTTAGACGATGCAACATTTTTGTTGATTTGCAATAGGTAACGAAGTCCGCTGTGGGCCCTCATGGTAAAGCCATAATATTTTCTTTTAAGTTTTTTATACATTTACGTCCAGTTGGCAGAATAGCTTATTGTACTCTACTGGTCTGTTGGTGAGCACGTTCCAATATTGGTTCATATCAAATCTTTATAAAAAATTACTGCTCCAAAACTGTCTCCCATACATGATCTTTCTTCATTGAATTAGGTTCACCTGAATACTTTTTCTTTTTTATAATTTAGAAGTTTTATTAATAGCAAATATTGCTTTGTTTCAGAAATTCCGTAAAATTTCTGCCTCTTACCGTAATAGTGAGTGAGGGATGGATAGAGAAAGGGAGAGAGATAGAAAAAGAGGCGGGAGAGAGACAGACAGAGAGAGAGAGAGTCATCATTGAATGCAAAAAACGCTTGGGATCATCCTATGAGTTAAAAGTAACTGGATTGCAAACAGTAGAGTATATTTAACGAGAAATCCAAAGTAAGCAGATCTTGAGTTTGCTCCGTTGCAGCAAATAAGTCACGAAACTTATTTATTCTTAGCACTAACACTGTCATTCAAAATTCACTATTTAGCTGGTCGTTCCAATGTAATTGCGCAGATTTGGCCGAGACGCTTATGACATGTTACTTATTTTGCTTGCAAGCATATATATCTCCAAATTATTAAACTTATAAGTTACGGCGAAGGCATTCAGTTGCTTCAACAATTGTTTTTTTTAACGCTCATTAACGTTATTAAACGTTATCTCGCCATCGACGTTTTTCAGGGTCATTATCAATTTTTTACAGGGGACTAGATATTTAAAAATTAGTAGATGATGTATAATCCCATCATCAATCATTTTTTCTGTACTGTTCCACATTTCTCTTGCTATTTCCTTACCACGAACTATGCCAAACAGTCTGAAGGTAAACACGAAACTCATTTGTTCTTAGATTTTTTTTATACTTTTGACATCTTTAACATTTTTTGTACACTCTCGGGATGATCGCCGACAATTTAGTACGTCTAAATGAATTCTTAGTTGCAATTGCAATTCATCAGAGACTTGGATCAGGATATTCAATTATAGTTTAGAGCCTCTAGAGCCTGTGCGTACATAAAAAGCGTTTATTTAAAGACATAAGAAACCTAAGGCAGTAAAATATATGCACATTAAGAAAGGTGGAGTAAATTTTTTCATTACTTTTGGGTTTGCAGAATATGCAAAAATAAATTGATTCATAATAAAAAATAGCGAATAACAATTACAAAATTAATTAGAATTGTTGATCCACTTTTCAAAATTTAAAATATTATTTACACTTATGGTAAAGGCAGAAAGTATCTTTATTATCTATACCGTTTTCATGCAAAATTTATTTCACTTCCATTGTAAAGATTTGTACTTAAAACATACACATCTAAATTTAAACATATACAGATTATATGTAAGCTGTATGTCAAGGAAAGCCCGCAGTAGTGGTTCGCGACCGGAATTTTCATTTCATTTTCATTTGGAAGATACATTCTAGGACCTATTATTATATATAAAGTTCCCAAAAATGACTTACATATATGCATAAAATATCCTGTGTTTGTTTACATTCTAGGACCTATTGTTATATATAAAGTTCCCAAAAATGACTTACATATATGCATAAAATATCCTGTGTTTGTTTAATAAATAATATGGATGGAAACATAATCTAATATAAGGTTAAAGATCTCATCATGTAAAACAATAAGTATGACGAATTGTAGCAGATAGATATATAAAAACTCTTCAACAATTTAAGCTTAATGATAACAACAAATTCGAAACACTGTCACAAATCCAAAAAAGAAGTAACTTGTGGCACAATATATGCATACCCACGAAAAAACATTATTTATATTTATGTTTCAAAAATAATTCACTTCAGTTCTTTCAACTCTATTTAAACAGCAATGTTTACAATTACACACTTATTATATAATTTGGAAAAGTAAATAGAAAAAATAAAGAATCAAAACCTTAAATAATGCAAAAACGCAAACATTTTATCTATTTAATGCAATTATCAAAAATTTTATTTAAAGTTCAAACATTTGTATGAACGGCCTCTGCACTTTAGCTTGTTAGTTTAGCTTAAATTGTATGTATTTTTATAATCTTTTTAATCTTCGGATAAACGTAATGTGGTTAACTAAGCACTAGCTCGATACGATAGAATTTCGTTAAAATCGAACTTTAGGTTGCATTTGATTGGCAGTAAAGTATATAAAAATTAACTCGCAACATGCGGTCAACAAACGAACATGCGTATATAATTTAATAATATTGTTTATATATTGTGACGATCGCTTGCCGATTTTTTCAGATACCTCTCACAAAAAAAATTGGAATTGGGGTGGGGCTCTAACTGGTTGGGGTAGTTTACTAATTTATTTCGCTGAAGTGAGAAAGAGCAGAGGCTGACGTTTTGTTTTTACAATAACAAAAAAAAGAGTTGTTTTGCTATAAGTTACATAATTAAAACCCAAGGTACGGATTAATTTCGCTTTTACTAAATGACTATTAATGACATTTGGACAAATCCGTTTGCTATGTATTGTGTAAGCCATTTCGCACATTACTTTTTCGTTTGCTAATGAAAGGTTACTGGTTCAATAATCGGATTTATTTTGGTACAATAGGTGCTTGTGGTTTTGTTGATGGACGACTAGGTATGAATATTGCGTCGAAAGAGAACTTACTAACGGAGTATGGAAATGTCCGTAAAAACCGTAGGTAACAAATGAGAGATGCCTCAAGACCCGTCGTTTCCGTCGTCTACTTAAAGATAACTTACAGCTACTTTCTATTAACTAATATACCCTTACCCGAGCGGAAAACATAGGAGTCCAAAATGAGAGACAATTCAAACTCCTTCTGAAGTATGGTACACTAAAAAAGTCTATACTGATTTAACCAAGGCGCAGTCGCCAAAAATTGCGAAAAGCTCAGTTACAATCGGTTTCTTCCAATAACCAACCGACTTTCGCGGCTGCTGATTCGATCGAACCTTTGGACATTGGTTTCGTAGAAGGCCGGACATTGTACATCTCGAACTAAGAATATTATCTGTTAGCTAATGACATCAAAGGCAAGGTGCGAAAACAAGCAATTTCCCTAGCGGTGGCTAGAACTCCTCATGTCACTAACATCACCAAATAAGCGAGTGCTTCATCGTATGAGGGAGATAAGGGAACGCCAAGCATTAAGTAAATTATTATTATTATTATTAATTTCGCCAGAGAAATAAATTCTAAGACTAAACTCTTAAAAGCACTAGCATCTAAGGCTATCGGCTTTTATTATTAGAAACTCTACCGCACTTGAGATTCGAACCCACGACCATTGACTTGCTAGTCGAGATTCCTTGCCTTCGGCTACTCAGGCGGATTAAGTAAATTAAATTAAACCCTCTCGTATGGCAACGAAGATCGAAACTTGAAAATTAAGTCTGCTTAACGACATATATAGTCAGACCGCAGTATCAAAATGTTTCCTCTTTGAATTTTTTCATGTTGCACATTTCATGCATCAGAAAAACTAGTTGACATAGGCACTGGTTATGTAGCTGGGTTTTATTTTCGCGCTTTTTTGTTATACGTATGTACAAAAGGTGCAAGAAACGCTCGCGCAAAGCTGTTAAATCAGGCATAGGCAAAATGGCCCACGCTTTGCATTAGTACTGCTTGTTCTGAGTAATTGTTGGTTGTTTAGAGTTGCATTAATAAGAGAAAAGAGTGTACCATAATAGAAAAAAGAAGAAGAGAAGGATATTTTTTTTTTCCAAATGTCGGAGGAGGAAGGGAGAGAATTGTAAAAGTAGGACGGTGGAAAAGGGACAAAAAAAAGGAAAAGAGGTTTTATGGAGTTTTCGAAAGGGCTGTCCGAAAAAGGAAAGTTTCTTTTTATGGGAATAAAAGAAAAAGAAAAAAAAAGAGTTTTGCGTTATTTAAGGCATATTGCTGGTTATTTTTTTGACAGTGAAGACTTAAAATATAAAATATATCATATTGAATTTGGAAATTGTAACTTAAAAAAAAAAAAAAAAACACATTTGGTGCGTGGATCTTATAGCTGGAGGAATAATCTTATTATGTATTGTTGATGAAAGGACTAATATAACGTGTATGAATTGAAATGCAAATCGTGTCAATTATAAATTCCTTGACCTATTCGATACTTGGATTGCTGGAAAATACCTAAAGAAAAGGATAGGTATGAGTTAAGATAACTACATATCACGATTTGTTCATTTTTTTGTTGTGATTATAAATTTTAAGCTAGATGATGCAAGCGAGTAAAATAATAATTTCTTTTGTAGTGCGGATATTTGATTCAAATTAGAAATCAATAGCCACAGCAATGCGACCAGCCAGACCGGTTTATCGCATGCAGCTAATTTTGAAACAATACAATAAACCAACCCGATATTTACGTACAATATGTTATAACAGCTGTAAATTGAATATAAAATAAATTCTAAACGCACTTGCTTACTTACAAATAGGTTGACCATCACAAAAAGTCTTAAATTTGAGAAAGGTAGGTAAATTTGTTTATTTGTTTATTTATTTTTGTTTTTTGTGTGTTGTCAATTGTCTAATTAATATCCTGAATTTATTAAAGCTTCTGATCAACTGTGTATCATTAATCTTTCCATACATCACCATATACCGTCGCTGTACTGATAAAGCGTTAGGAAGCAACAAATAAAAACTCATCATACTACTGAATACGTTGGTATTATCGCCAACAGACCTAACGCATTTTACTAAAGAAAATGAAAAAAAAATGTAAGTAAAATGTTATTAAATAATCAAATAATGTTGAGGAATATATATACATATACGTCGGAATGGTTGCAAATAATGTATAAGTAAATGACTTTATACGTATGTCAAGAACATAAAACAAAATATAGATTTTTGTAAAAGTTTCGCGCGTGAAAAGAAGCTTTTGAATATATTTTAGGCAAAACTAGTGTGAACTTCCTGTCGTGCTTTTCATGTTTTTCTTCTCCATTTTCATACAACAAACGATGATTGAAATAATGCTAATATCTATTGACAAAGAATAATTGGTTTTATTATTAATTATATGGGTATAACTATTACAAAAATGAAAATGAATACATGTACTTTCTTTCTTTTCTTGCTTGAAATATCGTTTTATTTTTATTTATGTTTATATCCTTTCGTTACTGATTGTATCATTGTAGACAAACAAACGTGACTTTTGGCTCATATTTTGTCATTATTGTTTTCGAAAGTAATTTCGAATGACGAAAGCCATACATAACTCTCAATTAAATAGCTCTAGATATATCTTTCCAATGATAACTAACTAAAAGACACATAATTAGTGCCCACATTGTCTTTCTCTCTTTTAATAGCTCAATTCTTCTCTCAATTAAATAGCTCTAGATATATCTTTCCAATGATAACTAACTAAAAGACACATAATTAGTGCCCACATTGTCTTCGCAATCTCTGGTAAGCTTGCTACACAGATGTCATTTGTTTAACAATATTCGCTATGGGCTTGTTGAAAATAGACTTCTTATTTAAAATAATGCTCAATATGTAATAGCCTCATCGAATTTCATTATTGTTTGCTTGTAAGTGACTGTACGATAAAAAACAAAGATTTCCTTTCCTTGTAGCAAAGATGGCATGAGGTACCGTTGAGTAGCGTTGAGTTTAATTTTTCAACTTCTGCAGTATTCAGAAAAATTGTTAACAGAAAATTGTAAATGCTGTGAATTAGAAGAATTGTTGGACCATATTCACAAACATAACTGCTTGTTGAAGGTGCGCGCAATCTAGTGGTGTGCTGGTACTACGATGCTAGCTGTCCGCATAGTTTCTGCCCTTAGTATAACTTAGCAAAGCTGCTGACAGGGTCAGGCTTTGCGGTTAGTAACTTTAGAGAGAATGACACAGAGAAACCGTGACAGCAAGACGGTTTCTGGCATCTTTGAATTGGGAGATACTTGATATTTTGTTACGGAGACGAAACAAAATTGTGTCCACTGTATGTATCTGTAAATTAAATCTTTAGGACCACACGGCTTTTTCAACCTTTTCACTCGCCCTAGAATTGACCACAAGCCGAACGACGCACTACTACGATTTCGTTTTTTAACCGCGATGCCCGCCGTATTATCAATTGTTCTAAAGCGCTATTAGGTCGGTTTCTAACTTATTGCGTATCTTTTCGCTGATATGTTTTGTGATGATATGCGAATTTCTGTTTCTTTTGTTTATTAAAATAATTAAATCGTTTAATAACAGTATTGTATTCTGAGGTAATATTAATATTACACTAATTTAACTAATGTAAACTACTTTGTGTATTCTGTTGCAAGGCATAGCTTTCATTATCTCAGCCACCAATGTTATTGCAGATAGCTTCAGTTGGTAAAGTCGTCACTGCTTGCGAATCCTAAATATTTTTTTAAGTTTGTCACTTCCAAACGAAAAATGTCTGTATACTCCTCGCATGTTTCTTTCAATGGCTCTGAGTCTTCTAAACTCTTTGCTAAATACTTCCCACGAAATTTTTCAACTGTCGTTTCCGATTTGACTGTTAGTTATCCGTACCCGATAACTGACTCGGTTTCGACTCCCAACTTTATCATTTCGGAAACGCACGGTTTTGATGGTTTGAGGTCTCTAAAAGTTAGCTGTGCGCCTGGACTTAATGGGATTCCATGATGTATACTTAAATCATGTTTTCTCGAGCTATGTGGTGTAATTTCCAAGACTTTTTGTCAGTTCTTGAAATCAGGTGTTTTCCCCTTGTGTTGGAACCTCTTTTTGTACTTAGTGAAATGGATCGGCTACTATCTGCATAACAGATCATTCAGATTTCTGTTTAACTTTATCACTTCTGATGAACTTCCCGTGACGTCTCGCGTCCCTCAAGGTAGCCACTTAGGGCCCCTTTTATTAAATCTATACATTAATGATCTTCCCTCGGTGATTAAATCTAGCCAGGTCTTAATGTGCGCCGACGATGTTAAACTGTTTGCTTCCTTCTTCTTGGAATCGCAATCGTATTAGCTTCAAATTGACTTAAATTTTTTGGTTACATAGTGATCGTTAAATTTTATGAAATTAAATCTAAAAAAGTGCAAGAAGCTTTTTTTTTCAAGGAAGAAGTTATTTCATTGACTCACCCAAGTTGGAAAAAGCTGACTCGTTCGTCGATTTAGGAGTTTTATGCGACCAAACATTACGTTTTAATTTGCACATTAAGCTCTCTTTAAGTAAAATTAGGTCTGCATTAGGTTTCATTAAGAGGTAGTCCAAAGAGCTTAAGGATCCTTACATTACAGAAAGGCTATACATGTGCTTAGTTAGATTAATTCTAGGGTATGTTTCTGTTGTGTGGTTTCCCTTCTGTAAATGTTATCTAGATACAATTGAATCCGTTCAAAAGCAATTCTTGTTGTTGGCCTTAGAAATTTGGGTTGGGACCGGCTTGTCTCTCTGCCTTCTTATGAAAATAGCTTGCTTTCATTATCCTTGCCGTCACTTGAGAAACGCAGATTTATCGTTGTGTGTTTCGTTCTTAATTAAATTAATTAAGGGTACTATCGATTCGTCCACATTACTTGGTGAGATAAGCTTTAACGTCCCTAATCGCCCTTTATTTTCATTAAGCTTAGTTAATGTAATATTGTGTAAAGGTGTTGTTTACTGTTATTGGTTGCCAAGCTTTTGCATGTCTTTAATGGCTTAGGGGATCACTTACAACTTGGTTTTGTACAGGGTGTGAATGTGCCTCTGTACTAGCTGTGTATTTGCTTTCTTTCTTTTTTTTCTTTACATTTCCTTATATACTTCATACTAGTTTTTAATATTAATTAGTATAAGATTTACTTCTAAGATTGTAATTGGATTTTGACTGTTAATTTATTTTAGTTAAGTTTCCGTTGAGTTAAATTGAAATAAATAAATATTTATATATATTTAAACATAAATACGTATATATGTCAAGGTGTACAGTAATGATATGCAAAATGTAATAATTAAAGTTCTTCTTTAATAGTCCTGCACTAACGTTACGGTGGAATCTCATCAAAATATTATGCAATTAAGACGAAGAATTTTTATCCCAATTAAGCCGTTTCTTGCCAGCCAGGTTGGCAATCAAACCCACATCCATTAGGCAGTGAGCGATGAGATGTGCGAACGCAACAAGAATTTTTTTTTTAAATTTATTTTAACCTTATCCATATGATTATACATAAATAGATAGATTCTGGTTGACCCCACGTTTCGCCCCAAAAATCAAAATAACAAAATAGAATTGAATTGATCATTTGATTACAATATACACGTATAAATAATAAAGCGGCTTGAGGCTTCAAAAGGAAAGAAAATAATGAACAAATGGTTAATGTAATTTTCTTTATTTTCGATAATTTTATTTATATGCGATAATAGATGCTTAGAAACAGAGAGAGAGAGAGAGACAGAGGTAAAGTCATAATGGGACACACAAGCAAAAAAAGCAATTACAAGCTATGGTTCTAGAACATAGAGATTTAAATATTGCTGACGTAAACGAAACTGATAAGAATTGATGATGACGTGACTTGAATTAGAAATAAAACCGGAGTATTATAAAAAAGTAAACTAAATTGATGAACATAAAATATACAGCAAAAAAATGGAGTTACCACCGTGTAAAAGAAACAAGAAAATTGGTTATGTGTTCAAATATCTTGTCAAATTTCAGATTACTTTAATGGAATTAGAGTAAATGGTGTTAAAGGAAACCAAACGCCGACAAACTGAACCCTTTCAAACATTTTTTTTCCTCAAAAGGTTCGTGTAGTTAACAGTCGACTAGAAAGCAGTCGATGCCCCAAATTCAATATTTTCGTTTACCATTCATTTGAGTGTACTCTTTTTACTCTTCGTAAAACGTACTCAAGATCTTCTTACCACACCTGCACCTTTTGCAAAAGTCTATATATAACCGTGTACATATTTTATTTTACATTATTGGTAAAAGTACAAAATTATTTACTTATGCATTTTCGGATAACGTAAGAAGACTTCAAGCCCCCCGCAGAGTCCGTCTACGTTTTACAAGATCTCTGTCTTTAAAACTATATAATAAAAACATTTTTAACGTGTTACTATTTTCCTCTGATGCGCATGCTTCCATTAATATGAAATATACCCCGCTTATTCAAGCCGTTATTGAACCTGGGAGATCTGCGGATATTGTGTCGGGTGATTTTAAATTACCATTCATCACGTAATGTTGCAGCAATAATTTAGGCCACATGGTACCTACCACAGTATCTGATAGAGCTAATCAGGGGAACATTTGGTTTAAATGATCTTCATTGCAATGTTTTTCCCAATTCTAATTCAAGATTCTTAAACCTCTGTTTTGAAAACTTTCCTGAAATAGATGTAAATTGCTGCGTATCGTTCAGACTGCCTCAGCACCGATATCATCCATAACATCATTATTTTCATAGAAACCCTAATATCATCGTTTTGTAAGATAGGGAATTTAGTTATCGCTTCGGTCGTCTTTGTCGGCAACACTCCCTTCCATACACGTGGGCACCTGGTACTTAAGTACTACAAGAATAAGAAAAACAACCTATTTAAAAAATATATGAGAAGTCAGTCTGCGTATGACTACTTCTAGTATGCTACTGTAAAGAGTAATTTTAATTACAACACCCCCCAAAATTTTTGTAGGTATCTACAAACGATAAAATTTTCGATCCCTATTAGTCCAAAACAGTTTTATAAAATTGTTAGCTCTACATTGCCTGTACTAATGCTCTTTAATGGCTTTAACTCCTACGAAGAATTCGAAATCTCGAATTGCTTTGTCGATTGCTTCCAACATGATTTTTCTACTGCTACTTTCGATTCTGCTGTTAACACCGCATACCAGATAACCAACATTGTTTCGGTTTCCAATTTGGTTATCTTTGAATATCATATATTCAAACAATTAAGTTCTTAAAGCATAGTTGCGGGCCTGATGGCGTGCCATCGTGTATTCTTAAATCATACGCCGAAAAACTTGGGATGTTATATCAATTTTTTTTAACCTTTTTTTAAAAATTAAGTTCTCCCCGTTAGGTTAGCGATTTTATTTCAATGGGCAAATGTGAAAGCAGACATTTCGTGAAGAACAATACGGGCATTATTAAGGTGAGTGTTTTACCAAAATTATTTGCCCGAGTTTTTATTCATCGTATTATAAATAACTTGGTTACATGATGCTTGGATACGTTTACTACATTGAACCTAAAAAAATGCGGAAAGTTGTCATTCTCAAAGAAGAGATCATTGATGACATCACGGCCATAGTCTAAAAGAAGTGTATTTTCACGCTTTCCACACCTGGCAAGATATTTGGGATGCAATGGTAAAAATAAGATAGTTGCATTGAATATTGCAAGGCATTTCACAGAGCATTGCGTGATGCCCTTGTTTCGAAACCGATTGCATATGGTGTCGATGATAATTTCGGTTAATTTATATGAAATTTCCTGAATAATCGTTCGATAAGAGTTATAATCGACGGACTTACCTTAAACATATTTCACGTATGTGTAGAAGTATTACATGGCTCTAAACTTTTTTCTTCGCGCGTCCCGGTGTTCTTCGATGACCCTCTTCTTAATTAGTAAACATAAGCAGCTGGTGGCTTCTCTTTCGGCCAAAGCAGTACCGAGATACACAACAAACGTTGCCTGATAAATGATAAATTAAATTGAGACAAAAAAAAAAGTCTTTTCCTTTAGCGCATAGAAGAAGTGACGAGCAAATTCTCTCCTTTGGGGGTGACAACTTAGAACAATTGGCAACCCTTGGTTTTCTGGTCAGGTGAATACAAAATGGTGGTCTTTGGACTGAGAGAGACTCGAAAACTGCAGTTGAAGGTCTAGATTTTTTCAATTAGTGTATGAAATAGGTCACGACAGTCGATATCCCTACCATTTACACTGTCTATATCCAAACCAAATAAGAGTATAAACCGAATGTGTGGGCGCTAGTCAAATTTTGCTTGAAGACATTCGATCGCAGGCAGCGAAAGCCTCCAATGCCCGTGGACGATGAAAGCATAATCAAAACTTCAGATACTCTCGAGAATTGGCGCAAGGTGGGCTATGTAGTGTTTATGTACAGATATGGAAGAGATTTGTCTATCAATTACGTCCTTCCCCTGAACCACAAAGGTTTCTCAGCCTTCTTAGCCATTCGTCTTCGAGTTGCCTCTATATCGTATGACACACTGCTGCCTTTGGAAAAATCTATCAGCAATGGTCCTTCCTAGCGTACCTGATGTTTCCATTTTTAAGGCAAAAAACATTATTCTCTTCTTCCACCTCTCCACTCATAACCCGTCCAAAATACTATCTTGCTTGCACGTATATAAGACATATCCCGCAAAATATATATGTATAAATGCCGTCATTTGCAGCAAAAAACTCAATGGCAATGCAGATCCAATTACTATCCCATAAGTGGAGAAGCCTAGGCTACAATCAATGTTATCAGCAGTCAGTCGTATTCCCATGGCTTCTAGATATCTGAATATAGAGTATAAATGGCATTCCTACAACACATGTTTCCAATCTGCGGACCGATTGTCACGAAGGCAAGCGTTAGTTTCAGACCCCCAATTTTTATATAGGGACATCTTCAGAGATCCAGGCCCTGGGAGTGGGAAACCCAGATGGAGGCGATTGCAAAAATCTGAATGACTTTCCACAAACGAAGTTTCACGGAGAAAGTGAAAGAGTTAAACTAAATTCTGCCGTTCCCGCTATTTTGGCCATGATTGCCATGTGCAATGGATACATTCCCTTAAAAACGCTTGACGTCCCGTAATATCTAGCCTGTCTACTTCTTCACTCTTTAACCCGTCGACCAAAAGCAGACACCTTTCGGCATTTGTACAATGCACCCTTAAAACCAATAAGTATGCCTAGCATATATTTATGACCGCAGTCATTAATGCAAAATGTTGATCTCTGCGAAAAGCGAACAATCGATGAGAGAATTCAGACATATTTTTAAGCTTTTTATCAAACTCCCCTTTAGCACTTCGTCAAGCGCTGGGAGGAGACTGATGCGTCGTTAAGAAAAAGGATGTAAACTCGCCTTCTCAGACGGCTTGAAAAGGACTACAACCCGACAGACATCGAGAATAGGTTATACACATATATTCCACATTAACCTTTTAGATAGCTTTCATCACCTCTCGGCTTATTCCATCTTTAAAAACTGACATTCGACATCGCGTTCCCTAATTCAAATTCCTTCAAAGAAGTTGGAGAGGGCGCCAATGTAATAATGGAAGACACCACCATCCGGTCCAAGGAAGAATGTATCAGCGAAGCCTTTAGACCCGCCCTCTAACTAGTTTGTACACCAGCTTGGCTGGGAATACCACTGATTTACAAACGCATTTTGCCTCTCCTCATCTGATAAACTTGACCCCAAATTGATTCAGTCGTGTCTCTTGTGAACTGATAATGGTCGAAAAATCTTCAATAATAGCAGTGTGTAAAATGTCTAAAAGGACTTGTATAAATTACGAAATAAAGATATATATTTTTTTGGTAAAATGTGAAAGTAAATGAAATTTCATTAAAACAAACATGTGAGGGATATAAAGAGATTTTTCTTAACAAGCAGTGAGGATTTTATTAATTGAAGGTGTCTGCATTAGCATTGGTGGATGAGATAATTAAATCGATGCCTTGCAGCAAAATAGGCGAAATAGTTACAAGCAAAACCACTTTTCAAAAATTTTTTAAAAAGTTTCTTTTTCTTATTTTTCTAATATTTAATAGCCTTGTTAAAGCATGGCAGGTGCAAGCTTCGAGAGCAAAGTTGCTTGATGAAAACGGATGCAGAAATGGTTAGATCTAATACGTGGTAAAAAGATGATCGCAGGAGAAAAAGCAGAAAAATCGAGTGTAATGTGTGAAAGATGAGATTTAAGCAGCAAAATATTGGTTTTATTAAAATCATAATGCTTAAGTTGGATTTGACACATTAGAATGGTGTGGTTTTATTATGCCTTTAATGAAAGGAAGCACAAATTGCTGAGTGACATGGATTCGCAGGTAAACTAAAAGATAGAGAGTGATTTACAACCACCTGTGGGAAGTTGGCGAAGCAAAGATCTAGCGGTCTGCCATTACGATTAGGAGTACGATTGTATTTAAATAAATTATGATCATATAGTTTATTGAAGAACACAAGGGATATAGGAGTAAATTACGTATAACTGTTTTTTTTGGCAATTTTCGGTCGACTGGCAATAAATTCAACGTTACGAGTAGTAGCAAATTCAGATGAATGGAACGGAACTGCAGCAAATATGGCAATTAAATAGTATCACCAGTGCTATCCACTCGATTTTTTCAGAAAATCTGGAAAGAAGCTGCTCCAACAAAAGTAATTCAGGCTTTAACCAGGCTTCAGTGAAATCCAAACAGAAAAACATCGTGGTCAATGAATTTAGGAGAGAAGGGCGAATTTTTGAGTTAAAGCCCGTAAAATTTTGGTAAATAAAAGTTAATGGGCCTGAAGCAACATTTAGTTTTTTGAGGATGGAAGAGCTACTGAATTACTATTTCGGAGTTGATCCTGAGTTGATGAAGCAAGATAATATTTTATGGTATTCTTAGAGGTGTCAGGCGCCACTCTTGACACGAATATTGCTTTTCTGTATGGTACTGCCGTCAAGCAAACGTCACTTATATTAGAAATGATAGAATGCACAGGTAGAGAATTTTGAGTAGAAGAGAAAGTAGAGGGAGTGACTACACTTGTTTATGCAACTTGTGTGAATTGTCCAGTTGGATGCCCAGTGGACACACCCGAGCAGCTAGGGAAGAGGCTGATTTATTGTCTTTGTTTGAAGATGTAAATAGACTAGCATAGTAATAGACTCAGCACAGTTGACATGAGGAGGGTTTTTAGGCTTATTTGTAATATTTTTATTACTTGCTAAGTTTACGACAGACAAAAAGCTGATGTTCTTTATAGGCAGGCATGAACACTCGAAATCTTAACCGGATTCACTAAAGGCAGATCTCCAAGTTTTATCGTTAACGTTTATCGAGCATTATGGATAGGCGTGCAAGATTAAGCCGAAGACGTAGGTGAAGTACCAGACGCTATATTATAACGTAGTCTTTCACAGGGTGAAGGAGAAGGTAAGTGCAATAGCACGAAATTCGTATACTTGATATATTCATCCAGTTCTTGTTTAAATTTGCATCAACGGAAACACATACACTTTGGTTACTGACGCTGATAAGCGTCGTTTCCACATTCACATCACTTATAAAGAGAATGGAATGATTATTAATATTAAAGAAACCCGAATTTCCGTTGGCAAGTCTATAAGCCTACCGCCGGAATTGCCGGCGTACTAGTGCACTCATTATACGATGTTCTTCACCGCAGACTGCGGGGGTGGTTCCAAAAAAACTTATTTCATCTGTTTGCTAACGTATAAGTTAAATCGGGCCGACAGACGTCAATTTAAATTTACAGTCGAACCTTCATTTGTCTTAACATTCCTCACTATTGGCTACGGGCCTCGAGCGCAAAGTATATATGCAACTAACTATAACATATAGTGGTTAAAGAAATGTATATAATAATAATTTTAATTAACAAAAAAAAAAAAATTAAAACTAATTAACATTAATAGGTAATAAAGAAAAATTTAATCATTTAAAAAGGATTCAGCTGTCCTCCCGTCCCAATGATTTAGTTGAGGGACGGGTGTTGACCGTATTGTAGCATAATAAAAACAAAAATGGAAAAATAAACCTTTTATAATCCATCTCAATATTTCAATTAACCAAAAATAAACTGCAAACCTTTTGTTATGTAATAGAGAGTACAAGTTGTACTTAAACATTTTCATCAGCAAAATTTCGTAGGTGGCGTTATTTAGGTCTCAGTAAAAAAAAACAAATTTGGCAATTGTGATATGTGTGTCACTGGTTTTTCGGATTACCTCTGTTGAACACCTACATTCCACTTTTTATCGAGCAGTCTGCAGATGGTGACACTCGAGAAGTGCACGTGCGAAAAACGCCTTTAAGAATCCTTACGGAATGATGGACGCAACTTATCACATTGGCTGATCATAAGAACTGAGCCACTCTACACCTCGCCCTACCTATGATCTGCTTCGGTCCATGATTTGTATTGGGGATCCCGAAAATGGGTTCTCAAACCCTTACACTGCTTTCCTTTCATTAATAATAAATAACTCAACATATTTTTATTCACATAAAACAGGTTGATTTATCATGATTTTGTAATAATCGTAGTAAAAGAAGATGTGTGTAAGACCTTGTATAATTTATAAAAGCCATAAGTTAAATCGAAGAAGAAAAAAAATTACAATAATAAACGAATAAAAATGAAAAGGAAAAAAAGCATGCATTAATTTACGAAAAATAAAAATAGTAAAAAAAAAAAATCAGATAAAGAAAAAAAAAACAGTATTTTACTTCTTCGCTTTTTTTTCTTTTTTAACACTAAGAAGATTTTTACTCCGTCGAGTAATTTTTCATTTTCACGTTGATAAATTTTTTTACTTCAATCAATATTAATATTTCAATAAATTAGTATTTCAATTTATTAATATTTGCTTTAGAAAATTATTAGTTCTTCGTCGTTAAAATTTTTACACATTTTAGTAAATATGTATACTTTTTTTTTTTTAACTTTGAATATGAGAAATTTGCTGCTGGCCGAAAGCGAATCTGTTGCACTCACCAATTCAAAAAGCCAAAAAAAAAAGATTTCTAATGCATCACCATTTTTCTTCTTTATGGGCGCCATAAATTGTCATGGAATTTAACAAACCACTACAGTGTTGCAAATATTTTTTTTTTTGTTTGTTTAGAGATGGATTGGACCAGTTAAGTTAATGTTAGATCCATAATCCAGAAACGAAGTTGAGAGCGATTGATGAAAAAATTTAAGCATAGGTAGACTGATGTGGCAGAGTGTTCGCAATGAGAGGCTCTGTTCCGCTGTCAATCCATAAATCACCGTACTTGGTACTGTACTGTCAAGATCCGGCTAATAATGCCGATAAAAGAAAAAGTGTAGGCGATTCGTGATTGTAATAGAAATACTAAATGTAAAATTAGAATGAAAACTCAGCTGATTTGATAAAGGCAGTCAGTTGCTTCAAATGCCTAAAGTTACCAGCACGAAAAATTTCATATAGATTGTTATACAGGTTAAATATACTGAAAGATTGTCTAAGGATGTCAAACCTCCTGCACTCAAAAATAAGGTGCTCGGCAGACTCAGTAATATTGCAATCCTCACAGATGTCAGAGGAGGAGACTTTGATCATTTTAAAATAGACCTTGTCGTAGGTGTGATTACTCATAAGACGGTGAAGAACTTTAAATTCCCATGTTGTGAATTTTCCTTTAGGTAGAAGCGTGGGTGTCAAAAAAGGGTAAATTTTGTAGAACAGCCGGTCACTTTTTTCTCTAGCTAAAACATGATACTCATCTTTCCATTCTTTTAAGATGAGTTTTTTGACTAGCAGAAAAGCTTCGCTGGGGGGGTAGTTTATGGACAAAACTGTACCATCGAACCTAGCTTGACGAGCATGGAAGTCAGCTTTTTCATTGATACTAAAACCGCAGTGACCTGGGATCCAGATGATGTGGCATTTTTCAATACTTGGGTCTTTTAAAAGGTTGTAGATATCGAAGACATACTTATTGGATGGGTCTTTGTTCTTGATTAAAATTAGAGCAGATTTGCTGTCAGAGAAAACTACAAATTTTTTCAGCTTAATTTCAGGTGCGTGGATGATTGCTTGTCTGATGGCCAGAAGTTCAATGAAAGTGGATGATAGTTCTTGTAGAACTTTGAATTTTCCTATAAGTAAGTTTGGGTATTCAATAATTGAAAAACTACAGATGTCTGAATTGATAGATCCATCCGTTGCGTATATTTTGAAGTTATTTTCGACGAAGTGGTTAAGTTTTTGCAGACAAGCGATTCGAAGACAAGACCCTGATCGATTTTTTTTTGAGTTGGTGATTGAATTAAGTAAGTTTAATTGAACTACGCATTTATCATGAATAATATTATTCCAGGAGGGTATTGAGTTAACTTTATTGAAGATGTTACTGAATTTTTTGAAGCAGTTAGAGTAACTACTGATGACATGATTGTGTCTGGAAGCGACCTCGTCAAAGAAGGCAGGTTTGAAGATTTTTACCTTGAGAAGTTCTTTTGCAGTTACAAGATAAATTCTCTTAGCAACGGGGAGTTCATAAGAGATGGAACGTAAAATTGATGTTGGTGTTGAGGGGGACAAACCGGTACAACGTCTTGGGATTGAGTGTTGAAAGGTTTGTATTTTTTTTAATGTATACGCAGGAGCGTTACACGATGTAGAGTAGGGATATTTAATTTTGGATCTAACAATAGATTTGTAAACATTTAATGCTTTCCTAGGTGGGAGTCCGGTGTGAATGTTGGTCAGAAGTTTGATGACATTTGAGCCTGTGTTGCAATTTTCGAGGCTATCCTTGTAATGCTCATGCGTGGTTAAACTTGAGTTGATTATTCTGCCCAAAAATTTAAAAGAGGAAGACGGACTGATTTTTATACCATTGATTGTAATGTAAAAAAATTTTTTGGGACCCTTAGCAAAGCGAATGACTTTTGATTTTTCCGGGTTGAAAGTTAGATTTAAGTCTGCGCAAAGTTTGTGAAAAAGATTGGCTTTAGTGTCGAGGTTACGGACTGCTTCCATTAATGAGTTTCCAGCAGAGATGATGAGGAAATCGTCAGCATATTGAAATAAATGGGTAGAATTGTCCTGTAATTGATGTAAACCGGCTGTGTATAAATTGAAGAGAACTGGGCTGAGACAGCTACCTTGAGGTAAGCCTCCACAAACTTCGACTGTATATGAATCTAATACGAGAGTTCTCGAGGAAACAAAGTTGAGAATCCAATGCCTACGTTGTGTCGGGATTTTAAAATCAGATAGAATTTGGTCCAGTTTCGCTAAGTTTACACAGTCGTAAGCTTTATTAATGTCTAAGCAAAGCATGACTACCTGGTTTCCATTTGCTTTTTCATTTGCAATTGTGAAAAGGACTTCATTAAGGCACATACCGGTGGAGATATTTTTTTGGTAAGCAAAGGACCTTGACGGGAGAAGGTGTGAGTGATTCAGGAATTTTGTTAGTCTTTCTTTAATCATTTGGTTGGTAATTTTTAGAAGAACAGACAAGAGGGATATGGGTCTGAAGTTGATGAATATTTCAAGATCTTTTCCGGGTTTAGGAATGGGCACTATTTTAATTGTACGCCAAACGGTGCGAAACGAGTTGGTCATCCTGCGCTCATTTATAGCAGATAGCAGGGTTAGAAGGCTTGGCATGGGAAGGACCTTTATCATTTCATATTTGATTCCGTCATGGCCTGCTGCTGTGGACTTCTTTTTCGACTTAAGGACGTGCATGAGTTCATCAAGGGAGAATGGAGACATGTTTTCGAGAGTTCGAGAGTTAAGTAAGGAGGTTTGGAGACCACGTGTCGAGGGAACTTGAGCTTTCAGTCATTCAAGATAGGATTTGTTGTTGAGATCATCCCAAATGGGGTGTTTGTATTTCTTTTTTGTGGTGCGATGACCATTTAAAAATTTCCAGAATGACTTTGTATTGCTATTTGAGCACAGCTCTTCGATAACGAGGGCTCGGTGGCATCTTTTGGCTTTTCTAATCGATTTCTTCCATTCTTTTTGTGATAACTTGAAATCTTCAAAATTAGAAATATTGGGGTATTTGGAAAATTTTTGTTTAGCAGCCTGTAATCTACGGAATTGTGAAGTGAGCAGCTCGTTCCACCAAGGTTTTGGTGAGTAGGAATTCGAGATTTGGATGTCGGATTTGGCGTTAATTATTTCTTGTTGAAATGAGCACTGGATAGATTCGACCTGTGGCTCAAGACATACGTGAATAAGATTATTTAGGAGTTTTTTCCTCGAGATAGTCATTTATCTCGTACGAGGTAATAGAGGTGGCATTAAAGAGAATAGGAAGGTGGTGGCTGTTTCCCAGGAAAATTTCTTTTTTAACCTCCCGTTTGAATGTGAGATGGGTTGCGTTAGTGAAAGTAAGATCCAACACGCTACCACAATTGTTGGTCGTAGAGTGAAAATAAGTTGGTGAATTATCATTCAGACAATAGAAGTTACTAGCTTTAATGGATTCTTGCAAGGCTTTGCCTTTATTCTTTGACACGGAGTCACCAAAGCAAGGGTGTCTTGCATTAAAATCTCCTGCAATTATGACATTGTGGAAACTATTGAGCATATCACATAGACGATTAAAGTCATCCCGGAAAGATTGAATGGGGATGTTGGGCTTGAAATAGCAAGCAGCAATGACGATATTAGGTTTTAGACAAGAGGTTTTGATAATGACAATGTCAGCAGTCGATTTAAATGGGATTTGATTGAAGGATATTCCTTTTCTGGCAAGGATGGCAACACCTCCATAGCCGTCACTTCTACATTTATAAGCGGAGTTGTAATTTGAGATCGGAAATTTTTTCATCGGACAGAAAGATTTCACTCAAGATGGCGAAATCAGTTCGGTTGGAATTTATGAAAAAATCAAGAGAAGGGGCATTACGCCTGAAGCTTTGTATGTTATACTGTAGGAAGGACGTCATGAGAAATGTTAGAACATGATAGGGCCGACCCAGATGTACTTTGTTTTAAAAGATCAAATTTTGATTTAAGGGAACTTATTTCTGTTTGGATGGTTTTAAGCATGTCTTCTTGAGAAAAGATGGAGAGAATCCTGAAAATCTTTTCCAGAATTATCTCCATTTCAGTGGATTTATGGTAATTGATGAAAGTATGCTTTTCAGGGGGTGGGGTAGGTTTTTTTGGCTCCTGCGACTTGTTACTGTAAGTCGAGGGCGTCTTGAGACACATTCTATGCAAGGATTTGGGAATACTTGTTTTATTTTTTAAAACTGCATTGAAGTTTTTGTTAATTAAAATATTATTTGTATCAATAGTAGGGTCTCTGATATTGTTAGGAGCATTGCTGTCCTTCATTGCTGGGAAGTTTACGTCATAGTTTTCAAGTAAATTGTATGGGTTGTTAGAGAATTTCTCTTTGTATTCTCTAAAAGATAAGTTCTGGATGGTTAAAATTTTTTTTAAATTTTCCTCTTTCTTTCTTTTTGGACACTCTCGAAATGTTACGTTGTGGTCCAGCGACCCGCAACCTAGACATTTGATTGAGAGGCATGAGTCCGTGGGACAGGCCGGTGACTTGCCACAGTTCAGGCATCTGCTTTCCTTACTTTTGCAGAATTTGGCGATGTGACCAAATCGGCCGCAATTATAGCAGA